GCCGAAAATCAAAGGATCGTGGGTCGAGTATGTCTCCCAAGTTGGTCTGGTAGTCGTAGTCGATGCGCAACACGCCCATCGTCACCTGCCGGAGACCTGCAAACATCGCGACTTGCGCCAGGCCATCGTCGAGTCTCGTCGGGCAGGCCTTTGCTGCAGCTGTGTCGGTCGGGCATGCAGCGATGGTGCTGCTCTTGGCCTTGTCCTTACGCGTCTTTGAGGACGCAGAGCCCATCGGTCCTTTGTTCGTCTACCTATCGCCAACCGGGAGAGTTCGGGAAGGGACTCTCGCCACCCGCGTCAAATTGAAGGAGCTGCGAGGCACGCCTCTTCTGGCGGGGTATCCCATCGACTGCATTCACATAAACGCACAAACCCCGGCCCCGAAATCGCACAGTGACACGGTCACTCTTTCTTTATACTTAAATTAGCTCAGGCGAGGCAAAGCTTGGCGAGATTTCCAACAAAAGCCATTAATTAGATGAGCAGCGCGAGGTCTCGCACACACAAACAAGTTGCGCGAGCGTTGCAACGTTAGAGTTGTTTGGTATTGCTAAAAATCTCTCTCTTGCAACGTGCTCCTTCACCCGGAAGCAATTAAAAAGAGAAAAACATGTTCGAAAGTCGTTGAGGGCGAAGATTAGTACAAAACACACTCGGGGAGGGCTGCTTGAGGCGTCGCGGTGAATCCCGATATGCGCTGACGCGCACGCGCCACTCGTTCCAACTAGGAGCGGCGAAGGCATGTCGGACGACGAGGATTGGAGCAGCCTGCTAGCAGACTACCCCTTCGACCTGCCGGACCTGCCCGACGATAGTCCATCTTTTACCTCCCACTCCCGCGCCTCCAGCTCGGCGGATGGCGAGCGGGCAGCGAAACAAGCCTCGCCTGCAGTGGTGGTGACCTCCTGCTGGGGCGGCCAGCTGATGAAGGACTCATCGCGGTGCACGGAGTTTACCCGAAGTGGTCGCGACTTCAGGCACATGTTTTGCCCAATCTGCTCTCGGTGCGGCATTGCGGTTCCCGTCGGACGTACCCGCGCACTCACCGTGGGGCATGCTGACTCCCCAGAGAACAGCCGTGGGCGTGGCGTGTGGTCGGTTGGCCACCCACGATTTCGAGTCATCAACAACACCACCCGGGCCTCCCCGCCGGCGCTGGTCATCATCGAAGATGAGTCAGAACTTGCTGCTGGTCGGTCGGCGGCAGCGGCCTCGCGGTCCTGCGAAGACGGCGTGGCGCTCCCCTCGGAAGCTGAGCAGGCCAGGGCTGACGCATTGAGCGCCCTGGACGCCGTGCCACCAGATTGGATATCTTCCAACGGGATGGTGGAGATGCGCCTCTCCAAGGGGACGCTCGTACCCTCCGCGACTCTGAACCATCTCGTGGACCCGCTTGCACTCACCGTGTCCGACGCCTTCAAACGGGTGTGTGATCGCATCGAGGCGGAGATCACATCCATCGCGGCCACCTCCCTGTCCGCCGCGGAGGAGCTCGCTCGCTATGGCGGCAGCGCCACCGAGCGCAGCGAGGTCTTGCGGCGGCTGAAAGAGGCGCTCGACCCTGCGGCATCTGACGCTATGAGCGAGTCTGGCAACAGGCTGCAAAAGGATGCGCGTTTAACAGAACTGCAGGGGCTGCTCGATCGCATCGAAGCGGAGCTAGGCAACGGTAGCGACGATGGCGGGGAGTCTCAGTTGTTTAGTTCAGCTATTCCGCCATCCCCCACGCCGTCGCCCCCAGAGCCACTGACTTCTGGCGGCTCCCCTCTCGGCTTTGTGTCGCTGCAGGAGCCGCACAAACACTTCTTCATCTTCACCGCCTCGATTATAGCCGCGGTCAGCATCAACTTGTGCTGCGCGCTGCCATCGGACAGTGGGTCCACCTCCGAAAACTCGCATCTGCTGAATCACAGGGCACGAGCCGCCCTCTCTGCTGCCTGCTCAGATCCGATGCTCCAGCTCATCCTGGCCGCCGCTTGCTCTCTCGCGATCGGAATCGCGACGCTTCCCCCAGACAAATACGATGCGCTCTTCTGCATCGTCTCGGTAGTGGGCCTCTTCCTCCGACTGATTCACACACTGCTGTTCCCGAGGGAATCAGTCCTTCACCATGATGAGTATGTTCATCCGGTCATGTACGCTTCGTTCAGCTCCTGCTTTGGCTTAACTCTGGGCACGCTGCGAAGGGCCGACCTTGCCATCCTGGCATATGGCTGCGGCGAGGCGATTAGCTTTGCCACCTTCATCACCGCGCTGGTGCGCTTTGGTTGCCGGCTTGCCCTCTTCCCGCTGTGCTGCTTTGACCTGGCAGTCCTGCCCTGGTTCACCGCTGCGTTCCTCACAGCTCGCAGGTATCGGGGTTGTGCGAAAGCGTCTGAGTTTCCGGTGTCATCGGAATTAACGGGGTGCTCTGATGTCGTCTAGCTAGGTAGGGAGGCACGGGCATGTGGGGTCCTCAGGGCGGGGGGCGGGGGAGTGGGGTGCTTGCACACTACACTCCGCCGTCCCCTCCTTTTTCGACTCGTCGGACGTGCCGGCTGCCGCTGACACGGGCAGTGGACGGCCGGGATTTTTTATTTTTATTTCTTTTTGTCACTTTCTTTTACTTTTCTCTGGTGTCCGGTTGGCCCGTCTTGCGGATTTCTCGCGAAAAAATGCGTCGCTTGGTACACGATAATTATCGTATCCTTTTCTTTTGTATTGGGATCTCATTTCAATATATCGCGGCCGGCCCGCCTCAGAACACGCTCTCCCCTCTCAGAAGTGACCCACTCGCGGTCATCCCATCCTTCTCTGAGGCGCCCGCACCACCCAAGCACCACCGCTCTCTCAAGCGCAAGGCCGGCCGCAAGTTGGGCCGAGAGCTGTGCGGTCTTAAGTGAAGACAGGGCGCGTGCACGTCCGGCGCATGCGTGCGAGCGGGTGCGGCGGGGGCGGGATGTGCGTTGGAGCTCCAAAACGGCGAGGAGGCCCAGCTCAGGTGGCGATGCGCAGCCGCCCCGGAGGCCCGAGCTCACCTGGCATTGGGTCAGAGATGATAGAGGGGGGGGGGGGGGGGGCAAACCCCCAAACGTGTTAACCTTGGCGTGGAAAAAAAATGCGGGGGGGGGGAACGAAACGGCCCCCCCCCTCGGGTCGCTCGGGCCCCCTGTCACCCCCCCCCAAAACCAGTAGCTGAGGCTGAACCCCGGCAGGCAACACCCTTTGGGGGGGCTCGGGTTGCTCAACGCGGGGGGAAACGTCTTGGGCTTCCCCCCCCCCTTTTAAAACCCGGGGACCGCAGTTGCAAAAGCCTCGGTTACCCCTTCCCCGGGGGGGGAGGAAGTCTCCACGTACTGGGGGCCCGGCGGGGGGGGAACCCCCCGAAGGGCCTGGGGGTCCACTGTTTGCTTGGGGGGCAAATAGATTTTTTGGCCCCCCAGGAGGAGGGGGGGGCCCGGGGCGAAAAAATCCTGCCCCCCCCCCCGCCAAAAAT